TTGTAGAGACGAGGTCTCACCAAGTTGCCCAGGCTGGTCTCGAACCCGCGGGCTCAGGCATTTCGCTAGCCTCGGCCTCCCAAAGCGCTGGGATTCCAGGCTGAGCCACCGATCCCGGCCCTGAATCTTTAAATCAATAGATGTTCCCATGAGCAATACTTGTCAGTATGACTGTAGTTCATATACCCTCATCAGAGCTTCCCTGTGACATTAATCATAAAACACTGGATTGGGTTTTCTTCTTCAAAGGTTAAAAAGGATCCAGTCTCAACTAATAGATTCACCAAAATGTAACACCCTTAGCCACCTTCCACCAAAGTTAGCTCCAGTTCAGAAATACCGTAAGAATTCAGAAAAGCTCGGCGCTTGAGCTGCTGGAAATTCATCTTTCCTTTGCAACTAACGGACAGATTGTTGGTGCCACAGTCTACTGAAGCGCCACACACCGCCAGGGCCATACTCTTGCGGGGTTTTTGATCATTTATCTGTTCATTAGCATCTTCACCTGTGAGGATAAGGAAAAGAAGGCAACTTGTTTCATATCTACTTTCACGTCACAGTTTAATAAGCAGGGCAGAAATTAATGAACTAAGTGAGGAGGCTGGGTGGCCTGCCTGTGTCACCTGTCCAGTCCCCACAGCACGTGCGAGTCTCAGCATCCCACCGAACCGGCGGTCGGCTCAGCTGGTGAGAGGACATCCCTGTCTGAGAGTTCCCCACAAAGACAACAAACGAGGTGCAAAAGGACGTCTTCCCCAAGTGTGGAAAATCTAGAGCGGGTTTTTACAACAAGCGGCAGGGGCGCGCGGAACGTAGGAACCCGGTCACAGCTGGCTTCACCCGACACCTTCCCGGTGTCGGTTCTTCCCACCCTGGGCGCAGAGAACGTGGTTGCCGGACTCCGGGACCCCCGCACTCCCCGCGCCGGCTCCTCCTCGAGAACATCGAAACAACACTCGCCGGGACCGGATGACTAAACCCGTATGTCTCTGAGCCAAGGGAGCTGTGCCAGCACTGCGGACAGTCAGTGCAGAGCATACCCTGCGCCGCAGTCGCGGCCCCCACCTACTGCCGCCTGGCCCCTGTGGGTCGCCGTAGTCCCCGCGGACCGCCGTGTGCCCCGCGAGCCGCCGTAGGAGCGCGACCCCAAGGCTGCGCTCTCAAAATGGCTGCTGGGCTCCGCTTCCCCCGGTGCCCTGGCTGAAGGCCCGGCAGCGGGCGCTTGGTGCCTTCCCTTACGTTCCGGCGCTAGCGCGGACTACAGGCCGGGAGCGGCGGGCCGCGGCCCAAGACACCGTCTCTCGGGGCGGGGCAGCGGGCGCCTTCCGGGGATGGGCCTCAGCGCCCGCGTCGCTCTGGCTCGGTCGCGGCTCCTCCCCGCTCGGGCGGGCACTGCGCCGTGTCCCCGCCCATCAGTCCGCCCGGCCGGGCCGGCCGCAGACTGGGCCTGGGCGGCCGCACCGAGAGCTCCGAGCCCGGAGGCGTCAGGAGGCGTCAGCGCTGCCGCTGGCGGCGACGCGGCCGGGGCGAACAGGCGGCGGCACCATGTTCTCCCTCAAGCCGCCCAGACCCACCTTCAGGTCCTACCTCCTGCCGCCGCCTCAGGTAGACGGCCCCGTCCCCCGCGCCCCTCTTCCGGCCGCTTCCGTGGAACCTCCGGGCGGACCCCGGGGGGCTGCCGGGCTCGGCGCCCTGACTCCCGGAACGCGTCCTCTCGGGAGCCGCCACCGGCCGGGTGGAAACTTGCAAAACTCCTCCTTTGCCGTTCTCTGCCTGAAGTCCTACCGGCCGTAGTTTTCCCAGTTGATGGGACCCAAGGGGCGTTAATTTCGTTAGTTCCTCCTCGGCGACGGTCCCCACTGTGACCGCCAGCGTGACTGCAGCGCTCGGGGCACCTGGTGGAGGCGGCTACCTGTCTCATAAGTGTGAGCACCGGGCAGGGACACAGACAGCTTTAAAGGGTTTATCAGACTGCCGAGACGATGATAAGCAGATTTTAAAAACTCAGGATGTAAAATAATTTAAGCGAGGGATATGTATCTGTCGCATGTGTCATCACTTGGAAAACAGAAAATGTGCCCTCGTGTCTTGGGGGAGGTGGGAGTTTGGATTTCGATTTTTTTGCTGATGTTTTTCAGACTGAAGATAAGATCAATTCGGAACCGAAGGTTAAAAAACTGGAGCCAGTCCTTCTGCCAGGTAAGCACTAGTTTGAACTCTAGCAGATACTTTAGCAATGTATTTTGGTCTAGGATTATTCTTCCGACTAGTGTCATGCGGTTAACTTTCCTTCTCTCTTTAAACTTTCTCCAGTTAAAAATGCAGCAACTGAGAGGAGAAAAAAAAAAGAGTTGGTTAGAAAACTACAATAGCAACACAAGTGATTAAATTGGTGTTTATCTGTGAAAGGTTAAAACGTCATAGGAAACTGTCAAGAATGTCTCGACTTTTTTTTTTGCCTCCTGAGTCGTTCCTTTTGCAAAGAAGTGTATCTTTAATTCCTTGGGTAGTAAAAGTTCCCTTGCCCTTCATGATTGTCTACCACTTAATGCATTAATGATTAATAGTCAGATCATCGTTTGAATGCATTTTGATAGTATAAAAAGCGACTTATTTTGTCTGTGTCTCTATACCAATAGCAGTGCTTAGCTTTGAATTACTTACTTGGCAATTGGTTTTTGAAGTTGTCAGCTGTATTTGCAAATTTGCTTGTTTCAGTTTAGAACAGAATTTTTCCCAGCAGAAGCACTGACATTTTGGGCCAGATAATTCTTTGTTGTAGGGGGCCTGTCCTATGTATAGCAGCATTCCTGGCCTCTGCCCACCAAATACCAGTCGCTCCCTTATCCCCACCCCCCATGATTGGTTTCTCCATATACACATTGCCAGTTTTTTGTGGGGTGGGTGGGCATCTCTGGGGGACACAATCCCCTCCCAATTGAGAATCACTGCTTTAGAACAAAATTTGCCTTAGAGGACTTAGAGAAAGAGGCAGGGACTGGTGGTAGACAGGAGTTTGGTTTAAGAGCATACAAAATACTATTTGGTAGATATTTTGAATTCTATAATAATTAGGAAAAAAAATCAGTTGTTTAATATAATTATTGGAGGAAGTAGCCAGACACTTAGGAAAAAGCCTATTTTAAACCTGAAATAGAATCATTTACCAGTTTGTGTGGATACTGTCAACATTTAAAAATCACAGTCATTATTACCTTAAAAGCCAAATCTAGTAAAGTATTTAGAACTTTGTAAGTAGTAAGTGAACAAATGTGGAAACTTTAAAATTTTAAATATTAAGTAGAGACAAACATTTAAAACAGCAACCTTTGGTTCCATATGCTGACTCTTGAAAGTTTTTTTAAGCTTTATTATGAGGGTTAGTTATAAATGTTTTCCCTTGATTTTGTTAGTGCTTTTCACACCAAAAGTGTGTGCTAATTGATCCTTTGTACTTTTCCTCAGAGTGAGCAGTAGAATTACTAAGTAACTCTTGCTCTTTGTGTGCTCTGCTTAGTCTTAGTCACTCCAGGCATTTAAAATGCAGCAATGGGAAACACTCATCTTGAATGAGTGCCTGTGAGCTGTTGAACTTTGGCTTCCTTTACTTTGAACAGGCCTGGTTCTGAGGCTTTGAATTTCCCCTCCCAGTACTATGATTTGACACACATATATAACATGGTCCTGGCTATTAATACTAATGCTTGATTTTTAAAAATTAGCTTTTGAATTTAAGATATACTTATAAAAATATTACTAAATATGGATATGTTTGAAGAACTTTCTCATTGAAGGGTTACCCACTCTAAAATTATTAAAAACCTACCTTTCCGAAAAGTCAGAGTTTTCTGGGGAAACGTTAAGTCCAGTTCCTGACTGAAAGTGATTTTCTGGTCCCAGAAATAGCAGATAAATTTGAATCTTTTAGTTGTCCATTGAGATTTCTCTGACCCATGTTAATTTTTCTCATGTTGGCTGCCAAATCACATGCACACATGGAGGCTCTGTCACCCAGCATTCTGTTTTCACCTGACTTATTCTTACAGAACATTTAGCCAATCCTGGATTATTGTGTCTTTGCCCTCCTTCCTGACCCCTTTGTTCTTATTTTCTTGCTGTGACCTTCCACAGTTGTTCTGGTTGGGTTCTATCTGGCCGCTTGTTGTCCCTGTCCCCTGCCTCACCTCCCATCACATGCCATTCTACCACTAGAACCTCCATTGCTCTTCTTTGGCTTGCAGTCTACTGTTCTACCCATGAGATCTGGAAGACAAGTGGAAGCTAACTGAAGTATTGGTGATCTAAAGACCTAGACTAGGATAGGGCTTTTACTAAAAGACATTGAATAATACAGTTCTGGCCTTTGTTGTTGTCAGAAATCAGTAGAAAACCTGGCCAGGTCACCTGTGGCTTTACACAGGCACACAAGGGTAATTGTTCAGAGATATAATATTGCATGTTATGCTTTGGCATAATGCCTAGGGTCCAAGGATATCCTTCTTCAGTTGCCCGAAGTTTGAACTTTTAATTCAATAAGCAGATGAAAATTAGAACACAAAAATCAATTGTTTATTTGTGTGCAGTGACCATGTGCTCTGTTGGAACTTAACACAGCTAAATTTAAAATGATCCTCATCTTTCATTAAGTAAAGAAAATAGAAGAAAAGGAATAGCAATTTAATTTAGTTGGTGCTTTGTGTTAGTAATTTTCATCTTTCCTGCTTCATGAAACCCTTGAGATGGAGATTGTACCCTATTCAACTTTGTAGTCTTGATGTCTAGCATAATGCCTGACTGTGATAGACACTGAGATGTTTGTTGAGTGCATGACTGAATGAAAGGGCCCCTCACATCACCTGCTTAAACTGTTACCTTAGCCAAGCACACAAACAGAGATATCAACTCCCAGATTTAGTAATAAAAAAGACTGTGTGCCAACCATCGCAGGAGAGTTCTATCAGAGCCTGCAATTGAAGTATAGTACTCTTGCAAAGTAGTTCGTTTCTGTGTCAACTTTCTCTTCATCATCTTATCATTATGTGAATATCATTCTTTTAATGATTGTATTTTATATGTGTAAAATCACTCCGATACTTTTTGAAAAGTTAGTGTGAATTTTAAAGTGTGTATATGTTTGTGTTCCAACATGTATTCATTAAGAGAATGTAATGCCAAACTGTGATCATGTCTTTTTTCAATAGCTGCTAAACTGGTGGATTGGTTCAGTGAGCAGGTGAGTATCTCCAGGGTGCCAGGTTCTGTGCTAGATGGGAAAAGTGCTGGAGGTGTAGTGTGCCTGGGCCACACCAAGGTTTAGAGTGAACTCCAGGCTGCCTGTTGACAAGATAGAAGCTGATTGGGACCGATCAGTGGTTCTCAAAGTCCAGCCAGGACCTGGTATCAGATCTGGGTGAAGTTTTGATCAGCTCTTGGTCAAAATGAGAAAATTGAGAATGCAGCTTTCTTCATAAAGCTAAATTTATTTGATTTAAAGGATTGTCCTTTATTCTGAGATTTTTGTCCTTCTAACTTCTTTGGTATAGTTGTTTTTTGTTTTTTGGGTTTTTTTTGGTTAAATGATCGTGCTAGTAGTTATAGTTTTTAAAAAGTTTGTAAGTTAACAATATTGGCCCTTTAAATTATTATTGTAATATTTCTGGTCCGGAATCTAAACTGGAAACTACTAGATGAGATTATTATACTATTACAGATACAGTTTAATGAGCACTCACACAGAGAACATCAGTTATTCTGTCTGCCTAGTAGTCCTTCCACCGTCTCCTGAAAAATGCACCCTCTCTCTTGGAACAGCTTGTTCTATCTCACCTACACCCAGCCTTGGCCTCTGCTGTGGCCAACAAGGATAATAACCTACCCCAGGCAGCAAGGATGAGCGCAAGTCTGCCTTTAGATATTTTTAGGTTGGTACTAATGGAAGAGATGCTCTTGGGTCATGTTGCCAGTGGCCATAGTTCCAGAACACCTGTCCAAAAGAATGAAGAACACCAGCGAAGGGTACTGATATATTCAGATCAGTTTTATTTTCCTTGTGATCCAGCTAACACAAAGCCATGGAATTCTCCTTTTTGCTAAGCTAGTTCCAGGAATGTTTTTGATGTTCTGAACTAAGATCCTTAAGGAGCAGAGTTTAAAGGTTAAACCTTGTAACAGCCCTGTCGGTTAGGATACTAATTTATCTCCATTTGACAGATGTGAAAACTGTACTTTGCAGAGGTTAAGTGGCTTGCCCAGCTAGCAAGGATAGAACTAGAGTTCTGCATCTGGCTTTCAGGTTGCGCCTCTAACCATTAAGCAGCCCGGCCCACCTGGCTGCACTGGTGACATGAGGGGACAGATTTATGCTCTGGGACTGTTGGGAAACAGATTGGATGTCAGCCTAGAAGGAGTTCTCTCTTAAGGTAAAGAGAGCTTTGTCCTTGTCTTTGCCCTTTTCACATCAGTGACAGATTTTGACCCAATTTGAAGAAGAACGTTCAGAGAATTTCAGCTGCCAGAAAATAGAATGTTTGGGGAGGCAGTGGACTTCCTGTTGCTGGCTGTGCTAAAGCTGAGGCTGGTGGTTTTCGATGAGGATGTAAGATTTGCTGTGGGTGGAGTTTGATGGCCTTTGCTATCTTCTAATCCCAGGGCGTGATCTTTTTAAGGAAAAAGAGTTGAAAGGCCCAGGCTAACAATGATATATTACTCTGTTGAGCAGGTATTGAGTATGCTTGATGCAGCTTGGCAGAAGGGTGGGAAGCTGAGAAGATGGGGTCCTGCCCCTAAACTATTTCAGTTCCTTGGGAAACATTTCTGTAGAGGAGAACAAGGTGGTAGGAGCTCAGAGAAAGTCACCTGAGCCAGAATTGGGTAGGGCAGGGGTGTCAGGAAAGGCTCCGCAGTAAGTGTGTGTGCTCTGAGTCTTGCCTGTCTGCTGGGCCTGTGTGTCCGCTCAGTTCTCTCCCTCTTCCTCTCTATGGTGCTAACAGCACTTTCATTATTGAGATTAACCATTAGATTGTTAATGAATGCTCTGATTGTCAGAGTCTCATGATCGGATAAGTAAAGCATACAACCGTGGATCCTCTGGAAAATGAAAATAGTCATTGTTGTATAGATGTCTTGTTTTGTTTTGTTTTTACATATTCACTGTTTGGCCTGTTTCTGTTCTGTTCTTGTTTTCTACCTCACATAAGTCT